CATACCGCTCTAGTTTGACATCATACTGCCCATGACTGATACTATACTGATCTTAGTTATGCATTGTGTGGGGAGGAGGAGCTCTGCTGTTTGTACCCAGGCTGTGTGCAATGCAGGGATGGGAGAAGGAGCTGTGTCCCTGTCCTCTGCCCTGCCAACAGTGACCCCTATCCTCTGCCCTGCCAGTAGTGACCCCTGTCTCCTGCCCTGCCAGCAGTAACCCCTGTCCTCTGCCCTGCTGACATCCCAAACTCTGCCCCCCTGACTGATTTTTTATTGCATCCCCACATCAGACAAGCTAGATCCAGCCCCGGTCATTAACTGGGAAAGTCCACCTACTCTCACGACAGTAATGACATTCCTAGGAGCAGTCCTGGATACTTACGAGAATGCTGTAGTATTAGTATCCCACTTAGGACAGGTCATAGTTCTATCCCATATGTCTGCATCCCATGATCTCACAGTAATAGAGAAGTTGTGTGCAGCAATTCCTTTGGTCTGGTGGGCTCACTTGAAACTGAGAACTTTATAAACAGGATTTCCAAAGTAATGGAAGAGTTGCTTCGTGTGCAAAGAAGTAGATTGACACCACATATGAGACAATCTCTTTGGTGGTGTCAAAAGCCAGTGACTCTTTCTCAGCTTCCTGACCTAACAATCATCACATCTGGGATTTCTTCACCTTGTTGGGATACTCACCTCAATGACCTACTATTTCAAGGTCAATGACAAGTGCCAGATAGTGTCACAACATATTACAGTGGTTGTAAAGGCTCAAGGTTTCTTACCTTCATGCATTCTATGCATGAAGGCAAAAAACCTGTGTGCAGCATCCCCTGCAGCCTCCCTAATACTTACCTGAGCCCCTTCCCAATCCAGCAATATGCAGGAGAGCCTCAGCTTGGCAGGGACTCTCTTTCCTCATTGGCCGAGACAGTGAGGAGAAAGAGGGGGTGGAACTGAACCCGACTCTGTGTGTGAAGGGACACACAGAGCAGCAGTTTTGGAGCAAGTCTGCTTGGGTGCCCCCAAAGCAAGCTTCTTGCTCTGGGAGCACTCAGAAGGACGGAGGGGCAAAGAGCACCAGCGGGGGACCTGATAATAGGAGGTTTGGGGCTGCACTGTGTAAAACCACTGCACAGAGCAGATATGTTTGTTTGTTTTTTTCCTAAAACAAAATTGCCTTTAATATCACTTTAAAGGGTTGAACGTGGCTTTCAGTCATTGAAGCAGTTTTGGCAACATAGCTTGCGATCTTCAGGTATACAGTCAGGTCCATAAATATTGGGACATGGACACAGTTCTAACATTTTTGGCTCTATACACCACCACAATGGATTTGAAATGAAACTAACAAGATGTGCTTTAACTGCAGACTGTCAGCTTTAATTTGAGGGTATTTACATCCAAATCAGGTGAACGGTGTAGGAATTACAACAGTTTGCATATGTGCCTCCCACTTGTTAAGGAACCAAAAGTAATGGGACAGAATAATAATCATGAATCAAACTTTCACTTTTTAATACTTGGTTGCAAATCCTTTGCAGTCAATTACAGCCTGAAGTGTGGAATGCATAGACATCACCAGACGCTGGGTTTCATCCCTGGTGATGCTCTGCCAGGCCTCTACTGCAACTGTCTTCAGTTCCTGCTTGTTCTTGGGGCATTTTCCCTTCAGTTTTGTCTTCAGCAAGTGGAATGCATGCTCAATCGGATTCAGGTCAGGTGATGGACTTGGCCATTGCAGAACATTCCACTTCTTTCCCTTAAAAAACTCTTTGGTTGCTTTTGCAGTCTGCTTTGGGTCATTGTCCATCTGCACTGTGAAGCGGCGTCTAATGAGTTCTGAAGAATTTGGCTGAATATGAGCAGATAATATTGCCCGAAACACTTCAGAATTCATCCGGCTGCTTTTGTCAGCAGTCACATCATCAATAAATACAAGAGAAGCAGTTCCATTGGCAGCCATACATTATCTCTCTGGGATATAGTTGCAGTTGCATATCCTGGTTAAAAAAATAATTCTAAAAGGTCTGGGTAACATCTCACCCTTCAGAAAAATGGATTTTACCTCTTGGGATTTACAAATAGCGCTGGACATGTTGTCTCACCCTCCATTTCTTCTAGATAAGATTTCCTCAATATGGTCAGTAACACTGAAAGCAGCATTTCTTTTGGCTATTATGTCCAGGAGAAGGATCTCAGATATCCAAGCGTCAACTACCTTATTGCTACCATTTTCCAAACAGGGTAGTTCCAACCTCTTCTTCTGCATCATCCAAAGGTGATCTGAATCAGGACATTGTCCTTCTAACATGTTCAGAGCGAAACGTCTGAGACACCACAAGCACTGGAGGTGGGCGCGATGTTGAAGAAATACATGGAAGTGGCCCCTTCTTCCAGAAGGTTAGGCCAGTGTTTCTCAACCTTTTTTCGGTCAAGGCACCTAATTCTAAAATGTTAAGAAACTAAACAAATAGGTTTACATGACGCAGCAATATCCACACATGTAGGACACCCAATGTGATTTATTCTTCCAAAACAAATACATCTTTGCACACTTATACAGACTAGTATTTCAATGTTTCTTTCCTTCACTCAGCTAATGTCACCCCAGTGCTGATGGAGAGGGGCAGGGGAGATGTAAACAAGGATGCTGTGCAGATGCCCAACGTCTTGCTCATCAACTGATGATGTCATTGTTTGTTAGGACATCTGCGGCTGGAAGGATCTAATGGTGCACAATGAAAACCTGTGGCTAAAAAGCAGGCTTGATCCACCAGCTGAGTTTTATACAATTTTTGGCCACTTTTTAGGCATTTGCCAAAGCACCCCTGAAGAAACCTGAAGGCACCCTGGTTGAAAAAGGCTGAGTTATGCAATTAGTTCTTCAGGCCTGGCAATGTCAGAAAAAGGCTTTCACTGTTCACTAGGACAATTGCATTGTCAATGGTCACAATGGTCTAGTAGACTTATATGGCGGGGATGAATCCTTCAATTGATCATAGAGCCCTCTTTACCAGATGTGTTTTGTACTCATGGGTAGAATTCAGAGTCCCAAAATTGTTCTGAAGGGAAGCACCCTGTCCATGGCACATTTCTACCCAATTAAAAAGTTGATCAAGCAACGTTGAGTTTTGTAATGAGAATGCCACCTTGTGGGGCATGTCTCATTTTACAGTTTAACTGGTCCTGTGATTGGGCAAAGGGCAAAGCCTAAATCGTGTGGTATGCTGTCATGCTTTAGCCTGAGGAAGGGAAAACTATTGTCAAGTATACACTTTTTAGTTGCCCCCCCCCCCCCCCCCCCACTCCCTCAGCTACATCACCCTCTTTGTCCATATCCTTTTCTTCTTGCTGCCCTGGCCCTGCCTGGCATATAGAGGAAGACTGGTGGTGCCCTCTTATTAGTGGCCCTGTGTACCAGCATGCTTGCTGATCTGTGAGAATTAAGAAGAGCTGCAGATCAGTGACAGATCCTTTTAGTATTTGATATTGAAGATATAGATATACTGCTATAGTAAAGATAAATCTGGTAGAGCACTACATAGGGGTTGGAACTTAGCCACATGCCTTTTGTGAGATTAATACCATGCTGCCGGTAGCAGGAAGCTGTAACATTAGTAAACCGTGCATTCTCCTAGCAATGAACACCAACAGCCAGCCAATGGTCTCCCAAATCTTGTAATAAATGCAAAGCCATGATCAAAAAAAATATAGGTAGAATTTCTATTTAAAAAAAGCACAAAAATGTTCTAATGCTGATGATAATGGCAGCCAGACTGTGGAAGCAAGCAAAATACCAGTAATTACTTCAGTCGGATACTTACTTGTAGTAAATAAGATGCCCAGCTCTTATCCTTTCTCCTGTAAGAGCTAATTATTAACATCAGGCACACTGATCATCTGATCTATATGAAAATATTCAAACTAAAGGAGGATTATGAAATTAATCAAACATAGGCCACTGTACAGTTAAAAGTAATATATTTAATGTAGCATACAAATGAAATGCCATGACTTCACAATACAATATGAAATTTATTTTCCACTTTAAGCTTAAAACAGATCACATTCTCTCCAGACAGCAATATGAAGGGTCTCTGGCCCTATACTGTTCAAGTTACAACACTGAGACCCCTGCCCTGACATAGTTTATGTTGACTTAGCACATTCTGTTTACCTCATTTGCTAACGTTTCATGTGAAATGAACTGAAGTGGAGCATTTCAAATATCCAAACACGTGCAGAAAAGGCTCCTATTTTTTTTTTAATTTCTATTGCACATAATTGGATGTTTGTATTTAATTCACTGTCCTTAACCTCACACAGTTGGAAATCAGACCCAAATATTATATCCTCTTGGTATAATTATCAGTTTAGGTCTAGCAGTATAATGAAAAGGTATTACATTGATGGTCTTCATGAGAGTTTCACTTTTGTTTTCAAGTGGCACATCCCATTTAATCATATTCCATCATTTAACAAGCAACAATATGGTGACTATAATAAAAGATAGTTAAAAGCAATAAATGTAAATAACTCCATTGAGAAAGTGAAAATGTATTCTAGAGATTATGATAGTACAGCAAAAATGAGTACTGACTGTCCTTAAAGTGCTGCACAGAGTTGTTTGGGACATCACTCTGTTTCTTATGACTTGTCCATTGTATCTTTTAATCTTGGTAAAATTATTTGTCTACAATATATTTTTACTTTTTTCTCCAGTTCTCTTGAGTTCCCTCTCTGTAACAATGAGTAGTATTGTTATGGAAACCCTGCCCCACAAAAAGACATTCTGCAAAATATTAAGTGCGTTAACTTTATTGCATCTCCGACACACCTTGCAAACTGGGACTAATTTTTATTTTTACATGAAGATGTTTCAGGCAAAGTAGTGCATGGTGATAGGGAAAACTTCCAGCTCTTCCAAAAGCCAACCTTCTTCCTTAAATTTTCCTTGATCTCACAGATTTCCCCCCTTCCTTAGCTATATAAACTCATTGCTGTGCTGCCCCCATCTCTCTTTTGGCTTTTTCTGCCTCCTTGAGGGCATTGATGACCGGCAGCCAGGGAGAAGGCAGTTCTGGAAGAGTCTTCTTGGCCTGTGTGATTGCTGTGTAAAGGGTGCCATGTGGTCCTGCTTCTTGCTGGGAATAATACATTTCCAGGTCTGTAGGAGAGCAATGCTTGTGCTGCAGAAGAAAAGGTTCAGTCACAAAACAATCGATTCAACACAAATAGGAATATGCAATTGGCAATAGGTATGCCCCAATTATGTATTTATGCGTAATCTTGTCCCTAGTGCTGGGAAAGTCCTCCTTATCAAACCGTGATGTGATTCATTGTTAGGATGCTAGTGGCTAAAGAGGTTGTAATCAGGCCCGGACTGGCCATAGGGCACATCGGGTGGGCCAGGGCCGCCTGGGCAGGAGACGCGGCCGGGTGGCACATAGAGGACCGTGCATTTCTCAGTTCCTCTATGTTCCACCTAGCCACCTCTCCTACAGGCTGCATGCCCTGGGCTCCTGTACCCCCCCCCCTCATCGCCCTGAGCACTGCGAGGGAGCTCTCAGCATATTACATGCCCAGTGTTGACAGTCCCCTGCCCACCACCACAGACAGGAGAGGAGAGAGAAAGCTGCCCCTCCTCCTGTGTCTGCTCCGCCCACACTCCCAGCAAGTCTTATGTCTTTTCTTCACCCCTTCTTTCTCTCCTTTCTTTCTTCTCTCTTTATTTCTCTGTATCCTGTTTCTCTCCTTTCTTTTTCTCTTTTTTTCTCTCTCCTTCTTTCTCTTTCTCTCTTCCTCTGTCTCCTGTTTCTCTCCTTTTCTTTCTCTCTCTCCCTCTGTCTCCTGTTTTCTTCCATTCTTTCTCTCTGTCCGTCTGTCTCCTGTTTTCCTCCATTCTTTCTTTCTCCTCCTTCCTTCCTTCTTTCCCTCCCTCTTTCTTTTCTTCCTTCCTTCTTTACATCTCTCTTTCTCCTCTCTCTCTCTCTCTCCTCTTTTTCCTCTCTACTTCCTTTCCCTCCTTCTATACATATTTCTTCCTCTCTCTCTGTCTCCCTCTTTCCTCCTTTCTCTACTTCTTTCTTTCCCTCCTTCCTTTCTTTCCCTGCTTCCTTTCTTCCTACACAAAAAAGTAAATAAATAAGAAAATATAAAATCGTAAAAAATTAAATAAAAATATAAGCCTACTGACACTAGTGGCAGAACTACCAGGGTCTCAAAGGTCGTTCTTGCAACCGGGCCCTGGCGTTCCGCCACCAGGCTCCGAGAAAAGGGTCCCCAGGCTTTGGGCTGCTCAGTCCAAAATGTCTGGGCCTATTTTTTTGTCCCAGTCCGGGCCTGGTTGTAATGGTGCACTATGGAAACTTGTGGCTTTGTGTAACTAAAAGGCATACAACTTTTGGGGAAATTTAGGCATTTTGCCAAGGAACCCCTGAAGAAACCTGAAGGTACCCAAGGGTACCTGGGCACTCTGGTTGAAAAAGGCTGCTTATCTATATTTGGTGATTTTAAACCCCCTGGTGTCCATACGTGGTAGTGGAAAAGAGCTACAGCTAGCAGCAGTAATCATTGTATTGTGTTAGAATACAACAGCACAGTAGGAGGGATTACCTCAACATTGTATTAATGGTGGAATCGATTGATGGTTGAAGGAAAGAAAATCTACATAATCAATGGCCAGCCTTAGAGATCAGTTGCTATTGGGAGGCCAAAAGCCACCTTGTTTCAAAGTGAAATAAAGAATATAATTTTCTATGAGCAAAAGCAAATACCAATGTTATCCTAACTACCCATAGCCAAATTAATAAAGATTATTAACCCTAATTCATCCTGTACTACTCCATTTTATCCATTGATCATGTTATCAGTTACATCTCAGAGATATTTCACCCAAAGAATAAACCTGTTAAATATTCTTACAAGATGCAATTTTTTAAACATATAAGGACAAAGGAACCCACATATAAAGCAGTGGTATGGCTTTACTCCACCCATACCATGCCCATATCCTGTTTATACATTTATGTATTTTTACAAATGTGCACTGCATTCTGCTTGCTTTAAGAAAAAAGCTATTTAAAGGAAAAAGTATGTAATTTTCAAATTCATGTGACCGACCTCCAGTTCAATCTCAGAGTTTTCTCTGTAGTGTTAAGCAGAAGGAACTCCATGGGACACTGCGGGCTCCATACAGTGGCCTGCAAATTATGAATGGAATGTAAAATGCAGGACATGGTGTGTAAATACAACGAGATGTCCAGTGTCTATCAGTGTAGCTGGGTGCTCTGCTGGCTGTGTGCTTCTCTGACTGTTTTTATTTTCTCCACCTTCAGCGGCTGTGTGTGTTTCTCTGGCCACACTTCCACCCCCCCCCCCCCCTACTGGGGAGCCTGTGAGGGTTAAGAAGACTTACTAATGCCGCAGCTCCTCCCCTGCCTCCTGGATGAAGCAACCACACAGGACACTGGGAAATGTAGTTCAAAAGGAGAGCTTAACTGTGAAAGTGAAGAGGGCTGTGAACTACAAGAGCCAAAGATACTTGGTAACTGTAGGAGAGATGAGCAAGTTTTTCTCCTGTGCTTTTGAGAAGAACTTCCTCCTACTGCTTGGGACTGGACCTATTTGTCTGTGATTGGAGAGATCTGTGTGCTTTGTGTACAGAGGCTGAGGACGGTGCTTAGTGCCTCTTGCTGCTGAGGACTATGGAATACAGACCTGCTGCTTGGACCTGTCTGTGCCTACACCAGAGAGACTGAGCCTGTGAGGAAAAGAGTGCTGGAGGCAAGGAAAAATAAACAGAATCTTGAGGACTGCAGCCTGACAAGTGTCCAGGACAAGGTTCACTGTGCTTGAGGACTGGTGGGAGGTTGCAAATATGATTATTTCACCACTGTTTAGCAAGTTCAGTACAGCAGGAGAGTGTCCATTTGCCTAGCAGCCCAAAAGTAGTTCACTGCATGCGGTCTTAAAGAGGTGGTAATAAGTGCACCACCATACAGATTGGGCCCCACTATTAGATGGCTGAAGAAGCAAGTCAGGCCTCATATACTAAACAATAGTATTATCTTATGTGCCATGGTGATCTGAACTAACTGCCACATCATAGTTTGGCATTAGTTGCAGTTAGCTTACTGCATTCAAATTGACTTATTTGCGTACTTACTGTTCTTGTGCATTGCTTTCTTATTTTTGCAATATTTCTTATTTTTGCATATATCTTGCAATGATATATTTATTTTATTTGGAGTCAAGTAGTCTGATGTCTAATTTCATATGCGGACATAGTTGTTGTAACATACTAATACCTAAGGTAACATAGGTCTTTGCAGCAGACTGATATATCCAGGTGTGTCAGAGGGGCAAAGTAGTTTACGGATGAGTGGCAGAGAACAGAGGACCCAGTATACCAAGCAGCTCTGGTGGGGGTAGAGCTACAGAAGTATCAATTCTCCATTTTAAGTTGTCCAATAAATCTTCCTTCACAAATGCAATGGGAGCCCACTAGAGGGACCCATGGCTTAAAGAGCCCCTAGTTCTATTTGTTCACCAAGAAACAAGGAACACATTTTATATTGGTAGGAGCAGCAAAAAAGAAACAGCAAATTATCAAGAAAGGTAAAAAGGGGTAATTAGTTATAACTGAACACACAATTTAAATAGGTTAAAAAAATGCACAGTATAAATATAAACCTGTTATACACATACCAGACTTGCTGGAAAGGGGGATGCTTGTCTCTTAAATTATATTGTCCTTTCCTTACTCTGTAGCTAGATGATGCTCTGTAAAGCTAGTCCCAACATCTTCTCAGTGTGTCTTTAGTTTTCTGTTATGAACACATGGAATTGCTGGAACTAGACATACTATATTTTTTTTACCTATGTGATGTTCATCTGTGAAGATCTGCACGAGTTTTTGATAAAAGCTTTCTATGATCTTCAAGATCTCATTTGAATCAAGTCACTGTCTGCCAACTGTGCTAAGATTGTAAGTTATAGCTATCTCACACTTGCATAGTTAATCACATTTGCAATATTTAGATTGAAGAAGCAGATAAGGATCTTGTTGATATTAGATTTTTGATTGAAAGTTTTGCAGTGTTAAGGGTTATGTTGAACAGTACCTTGAAAATGAAACCTTCAGGACAAGTGAGCTGTTCATACCACAGAGCCTTGTACATCACCAGCATCAGAAGACAAGCCAGAAAAACCATGGTGATCAGGATAAGGCCAGTCAGCTTGAGAAGTCAAGAAAACAAAATAAGACATCTTTTAGGAATCTTAAAAGAAGTAACAGAAAACATTTAGATATGTTATATTACATGTATATTGTTTTATTCTGCAGACAATAGAAGATCTACAGAGGAGTTTTTTCATTGAAATCTAAGCACACATTACCTTAAAAGCAGGGTATAAATATTTGAAAATGTTTAAGTTAAAAATATAGTCAGTTTTGGTCAACTGAACTGAGAAGCAGGACTGTAAATCAATCAAGAGGAAACTAGGCTGATCCTTTGCAAGCTCATAGGTTACTTATAATTAAAAAATCAGATATTTAGCCAATTTACACTAAGTATATGATTTAAAAATGCATAGGCAGAAGGTGTCTTCAGTGAACTTTGAGTATAGCCACAACCCCCACCAAGCCGTTTATTGGTTAATGAGTTTCACCTTAAAATGAAAGGACTCATAGGGATGCTTGGGAAGTGGATAAGTGATGAGGGCACGTTTAACATGGAACTGAAGTGTTATTTATTACAGATTGTGATCGGACAGGCTATTATCACAGAAGAGACCAGCAATAACTTTTCTACAATAATATACACCTATCTGCCAGCTCGCAATAATCTCCAGCATGAAACTAAGCAGCGCATGCTTACAGCACCAAACCTATCCCTGTGTGCTCAGATGAGTGGCTCATGGTCATAACATAAGTGGCATCATCCCGTGCCGGCCAATGAATATGTCTGAAGACCAGCACACAGAAAAAGATGCCAGTGTGGGACAGGGACTGTTGGAGGAAAGGTAAGTAAAGATTTAAGTTCCACCTTAACATTTAAAAACTTTTACAGATATATTTAAAATTGTTGTAAAGGCAGAAGTTTTTTTTTTACCTTAATGCATTCTCTGCATTAAGGTAAAATCCCTTCTTTTGCACCCCCCAACCCAATACCTACCTGAGTCTGATCTTGATTCAATTCTGTGCCTCAGAGCAGTGGCACTGCTCTCTCTCAACCTCCTAACTGGATTCAGTGAAAGCAGTACGAGGCATTGGCTCCTGCTGCTGTCACTCAAATCTAATAACAAGGGAGTGGGGCGGCGAGCTGACCTGTTGTGTTAATGGACACACAAATCATAGTACCGGATCGAAATGGCTTCCTATGGCGGCACAAGGAGAAGAGGGGGAGTCCAGAGTGTCTGCAGGGGATCCCAGAAAAGGAGGATTGGGCTGCTCTGTGCAATACTATTGCACGGGGCAGGTTAGTATTCTCATGTTTGTTATTTTTAAAAAATCATTAGCTTTACAATCGTTTTAACTGCCTATACATCTGGATCCAGTGATCATTTTTACGTTTGACTTGTTTGTTTATGTATTTTGTCATCATATGCGTATTTTAAATTGCCTTTGCTTATGAAAATTTACTAGGCCTTGGTCTCAAAAATGTTAAATTCTGATATTATAAGATTGTATAAGTATGTATTGTCTAAGATTCATCAACAATAGGAACACATCTTCACAATAACAACACCTACAAATGCCATTCACTGCCATACCTTGACCTTTTCAGAGACCTCATCATACAGGTTTATGTTTAGTCGTTTAATCCCTGGCACATGAATCTTCCTCTTTTTTTTCTGCTGCAGCTGATATTCTGTCCGAGTTTTTACAATCAACTAGTGAAAAAAAAAAAAAACAACTAAATGTAAAAAACAAAAAACTTGGTCATTTAAATTGTATAGAGGACAAAACTTATTTTCAAGCAAACACAACACATATCTTGGTGGCCTAGAATGAGTGTGATACTTTTCAAAAATTTGCTTATTAATTATTTAAAAATAAAACTTTTTACAAAATAATTGTAATTCTGTAGCAAGACAATCAAAGAAGATTCACTTGTCACATGGAATACACCCATTTTTCCAGCTATTGTTTGTTTTGTTACGCTAAGAGGCTTATAACAAGATATCTGCATTAGCAACACAAACCCAGTAATGAAAAAGCACCATTTTCCAAAGACCTTATCCAAGCAATTATTCTACAAAATGATCCTCCTTCTTTTGTTATTTATTGCCATCATATAATGAGCATCACTAATACAGGTGATGACATCTTCATTAATTTCTAGGGCTGTATATTGTTTTCTCATGTTTATATACTTCAAAAGGTAGTCCATCCAGAATTAACCCTTAAGTACGTTTCAGACAACAGTTCTACCCCTGCTCTTGCTTTCTTTTCTCAACCTCCAAATTTCCCTGGAGAATTGAGCACGAGGACATTTTTCCTGTAAGATGAGTGAGCAAAGTTCTAACCACAGCAGAAAAGATGAAGTTTCAGATTGGAAGTCTTCATATTCGGCTTGTTTTAAAGGGACAGAGTCCTAAGCAATGTAAATTGTAGGCAACTAGAAGTGCCTTCACATACCTGCAGAAGCTTTCATTGCCTTCTGTTATATCCAAATGCTGGACTGTTCTGAATGGACAAAACTATGGCAATTTCAGATAGTATCAGAGTTTGTCAACTCTCTCTTGCCTATTCACAATCATAGTGGTCCATTACTATAATTGGCAGCCTTCTCGGCCAATATGATGATTGGTGGGGTAGGAGGGGGCAGTCAAACTTCATAACTTGCCCCCTTGACCCTGTCCCCACACAACTCCTCCGGTCACAATACTCCTCCATCCTACGCTCCCTCACCCACATCTTCAATCTCTCCCTCTCTGCTGGCGCATTCCCCTCCCCCCTAAAGCACATCACCCCCATACTCAAAAACCCCTCCCTGGACCCCACCGACCTGAATAACCTTAGACCCATCTCCCTGCTGCCATTTACTTCCAAGCTGCTTGAGCGCTTAGTCTACAATCGCCTAAGCGCCCACCTCACTGACAACAACCTCCTCGATCCACTACATTCTGGCTTCCGTCCCCTACACTCCAAAGAAACCGCCTTACTCAAAATCACTAATGACCTGCTAACCATCAACGCTAATGGCCACTACTCAGTCCTCTTACTCCTCGACCTTTCCGTGGCCTTCGACACAGTTGACCACCCCCTCCTCAGTAAACTACACTTCCTCGGCATCAGAGACTCCGCTCTCTCCTGGCTCTCCTCCTATCTATCCCAATGCTCCTTCAGCGTTACCTATAATGCTACCATCTCCCCCTCTCTGTTGGGGTCCCCCAAGGCTCTGTCCTTGGTCCCCTTCTCTTCTCCATCTACACCTCCTCCCTCGGCAAACTGATACACTCCCACGGCTTCAACTATCACCTCTACGCGATGACACGCAAATTTACCTCTCTACCCCTCACCTCACCCCTGCAGTCTCCGCCCGTATCACCCACCTACTGAACTACATATCAGACTGGATGTCGCTCAATTTCCTCAAATTGAACCTTTCCAAAACTGAGCTCCTGATTTTCCCCCCAGCCCGCCCCCCCCCCCACCCTCTCCATCACGACCAACAACACCACCATTAGTCCCACCCCGCAAGCCAAAGTCCTAGGTGTCACTCTAAACTCAAACCTGTCCTTCCAACCCCATGTCCAATCGTTGGCAAACTCATGCAGGCTCCATCTCTGCAACATCTCCAAAATACATACGTTCCTAACCCCAGACACTACTAAACAACTCGTTCACTGCCTTATTATCTCACATATGGACTACTGCAACTCCCTTCTCACCAGCCTACCTCATCACAGACTATCCCTGCTTCAGTCTATCCTGAACTCAGTGGCCAGACTCATCCACCTTACCAACCACTCCGCTTCTGCCACCCCCCTCTGTCATTCCCTCCACTGGCTCCCGATTGCCCAACACATTAAATTCAAACTACTAACACAGACATACAAAGCCATTCATAACGCTGTCCCAAACTACCTCACCGACCTGATACCCAAATACCACCCAAGCCGTGCTCTTCACTCCTCACAAGACCTCCTACTTTTTAGCTCCCTGGTCTCCACCTCCCACGCCTGACTGCAGGACTTCTCCAGGACTTCCCCCATCATCTGGAACTCACTACCCCAATCCATCAGACTGTCACCTACCCTCCTCACCTTTAGGCACACCCTGAAAACCCATCTCTTCAGGGAAGCCTACCCCGCCCTCACCTAACAGCCGATCTCCTCCTACCACTCCATCCCCCACAGCCACTTCCTCCTGTACCACTATCCCCTCCCTCCTAGATTGTAAGCTCGAAAGAGCAGGGCCCTTGACCCCCTCATGTTTTTTTTTTTTACTGTATTGTCTCATGTTCTGTCCCCCACTATACGGTACAGCGCTGAGTAAACCTTTTAGCGCTATATAAATACTGTATAATAATAATAATAACTACAAGGAAGTGCCAGAGGTTTTCCTGTTCAGAAAAGAAAGAAGAGCTTCTGCAGATCAGGTGACTTCGGCACTTCAGGTTTTAACAAACCAGTGTGTGATCACAGAACCTAGAGTCTTACTGTATTGGGACAGCAGGTTTAAATAAAAAGTACGTAGAACATTTTCCAATGTATTTTTATTGATATCAATTCATGGCATTTCAAAAGATTGAAATTAAAAAACAAACATATTCATATCACTCATGTACAATTTTGATTATGCACAGAAAATTATTTACAACGATGCGTTATAGGAATGTAATACCCAACAAGTATGGAACTCTGGACACAAGTTAGCTATCACAGTAAATGAACTGAGCTTGCCAATGATGTAGTTCATATCTAACCTTTTCAGGAAATGGTTGCTCCAATTGGTCAACATCAAGAGGTGTTATCAAGGGCACCTTGTCCTCATCCAAACCTTGTTCATTGTCACCTTTATCTGCCAGGTTAGCCCCCAGCTGCACCATGGTCTCAGGCACAGCTAAACCGTGAACGAAATCTAAAAACATTAACAAAAAAGTGGATGAAACAGAAGAATTAGAACCTTTATCAGGTCTTCATAGCTGCTTATGCTACCATTCGGTAATTTCTCTTCACCCCATGTGGTAATAATAATAAAAGCTAGGTAACAATGTAGGAGGAAATCTCCACATTACAGACACAGGACCCCTGTTAGGACTAATTTGCTTTGTGCCCAACGGAAAAATTGTAATTTCCTGGTTCGGTTATAGTGGTCACCAGAACAGAATATAAAGGAAAATCTGCCCAGTGGGGACAAGACAGTGTCAAAAATCTGAAAGCATTTTTAATCATTACCGATCTAAGCAGCAGATTTTTACCAGTGAATAGCAAGCATTTTCAGGAGTTTGCATTCTATATCTGATTCCCAATATTGTGCTACTGAACCTCAAAACTAAGGCACTTCATAATGTTGGCAGCTACCTAGATGGCATTGGCCTCCCACCCCATGCAATGTACTATTGATGAGTGGGGATGCCCACCACAGTGATGGGCCAATATAAAGTCACATAAGACTTGTGGTGATGGGGCCAGCACCAACAACCAGAACTCTCAGTAAACCTAATTTCTTTGAATATCATTTTAATTCCACTGCAGATTTCTATTTCTGGGTAATTGGACTTTACCAAGTTAAACATTTTGGTCCTAACAACATAAATATAATAAATTGCCTTTACAGATATACATGTGTATGTACAACATAAATAAAATCATCAATGCTGAGGCAATATAAGTCTTTCAAAATGCATGTGATTTTTTTCCTCCCTTTTTCCTTCCCCACGACCCTACCATGTTATTATTTTTTTTTTATCTGGCTCACAAAAAAATGTACATGCTATGATTCATAACAATAAATCCACTGTTCATGGTGTGGTGCAGGGACCCATTTGGTATTGTAACTGTTTCCTTGGTCAGCCCAGCTTTGCACTCAATCAACGCTACCATTTTTTATCGTTCAGGCTACATTAGATAGTCAATTGCAGTCAGCACATTCATTGATTAATGCTGTATTAGAGACCACACTTTTTATGGTATTGTGTAGTCATTATCAGCAACCAAGGATTCAATCCCACAACCTCTGTTGGGGAGAGAACAGGGGCAATTAACAACCATGCACTAGTACAAAAGAGAAATTATGCATGTAAGAGAGCCTTATTCCGTAACACTGTTTGTATGGATCTTAAATAGATGTGGCTAAATATTGATCTTCAGCTAATAGCTACACTTGGAATGTCCTAAGTTCACCTATTTGGCAATAAGTGGATTTAAGCACATTCAGCTCATTGATGAGAATGGGAAGATAGGTTGAAAGAGCACAGTGCACCTGAAATTTTCTACATAGAACATGGTCTCTGGTGTAACAGCGTATACCCAGAGGCTGACGCAGTCCTCAATTTTGTTAAGAACCTCCAGCTTGGCAAAGGGGTTAACCTTCCTGACAAACATATTTCCCCCTTATTCTCCCCCTCCCTTTCTGAAAGTCACAGCGACATTTGACCAGTGTGTATGTGTGTGTTAGGAATGTCACAGGAGGCCAGGGCCCAGCAGGTGGCTAGGAGCTATAAAGTCCCCAAGGAAGCGGGGGCCTAGCTGTCAGAAGAACCTGTAAAATGTAACACCTCGTATAAGATAAGGCAAGCTTTCCCCAGAGTTCAAGACATTCCAAGGAAGGCGGGACCAGCTAACACTTTTAAAAAATCAATTTTTCCCCTATGTCTCATATCTTGGAATAAGAGAGACTTACATAAAAACCAGACATATCATCAGATTGGCCACGAGAAGGCGAACAGTTTGGTAGGTCACTTGCATTGTCTCGAGTACATAGGAAAACAAAAAAATAGATCTTGTGAACCGTTCAGTGTATATTTTCATAATTCATATCTAATCAATCTTCAGACGTGTCTGCATAATAATCTACCTGCGGGTAGAATGTCACTTGTGCAGATGGAAAGTTATGGGCCAAAATATGAGTTATGGGAGATTTTGGCTCTAGTTGAGGTATCTGCCCATACCTACACGCCCTAAACGGGGTATTGGTCCTTGACTTCAGAGACACCCCGTGCTGGGGAACTACAAATTAGGCTGTCAGGCCTAAGAAGAGTGAGTTGAAGACGTCTCCCATTTTAACATCAATACCACCTGGGGAGACTTGTGCCCTTTCTCTCTGAAACTTGGATCTGCTAACCCAGGACTTTGGCAAGTACCTTAACCCTTTCACCTCTCTCTGATATCTCTTTGCTGTGCTGTTAGTCTCTTTATATTTATATATATATAGCTTAGTTACATCTTTTCTGTAAATATTTTTTATTGCACCCATTTGACCTTTTAGTAATAAATCTTTCCTTCTGAAAGTGTTGAACTGTTTCTACAGCGCTTTATTGCAATTTACGAATTCCTGCCTCTAAAGAGAACGCTACTGTGTTTGTTTAACCCTCTGTATAACCATGTTATACAGACGATTACCTCAACCATTATAGTGTTATTTCGGATATCGACGAGTTTCCTCTTTCTCAGTACAAAAAGGAGGTGGTGGCAGTGTGAAGGGTTAATTGCGTAATTAACCTGACCCAGTAACAATCGCTCAGGCTGCCGGTACCTCAATTGTGGTCCAATTAGCTAGAAAATTGTTGTGCAGGGTGCAGCTGGGTGTGGCATTGTTACGCACGTGACATCGCGGTTTTAGATCGGCTAGTCCTTCGGTCATGAGTTTGGGGAGAAGGGCTGGGGTCTGACGCTGCGATCGTGACATCGGGAATTCAACATTTCTTTCTCAACTTCATAGGTTCCTTTCTCACAGGGCTACGCTTTCTGAACACTTAAAGGTTAAATATGGCTCCTTGACAAAAGATGTCCCAATGGTATTCAAGGCGAGACAACATGGAAAGTTTCCTGTGTTGACTTTCCATTCAGTCAGCCACTCACCACCTCCATTGTGAGGGACAACTGCAGTTTTCTTCCTCTAGACCCAAGTAGAACATCCATGATAGCCAGTCTTCAAGAGGTCCTCCCAGGAGTGGAGATTCTCCCAGTACTTCACATGTCTATGCTCAGAGGCCCAGGAGAAAGATAGTTGTTAATGTTGCTACCTCACTAGGCAACACAACACTAAGCAACGCTAGGCCACACAATACGAGTGTGCCAGGTAGTAAGATAGTTGTTAATGTTGCTACCTCACTAGGCAACACAACACTAGGCAACACTAGGCCACACAATACGTGTGTGCCAGGTAGTTCCTCAGATATTTATTAACTTTCCAAGCATGCATAAGCAGGCCCCTCAAGCCTGCTGACAGGATGCCACCTTTAACACGCATTGCTGGAGCTAATTCAAACAGCAAGGGAATGGGATGAACCACTCTATACTTGGAGAACACCTGCAGACAAATACAGACAAGCTGAGGAAAGCTATTTGCTTCTAACAAAATCACAATTTTTGAAAAAAGTAATTTAGAAAAATACTACATCCATGGGTTGCTATGGTATATCCCATGCAATGGTTAAAAGAAAGAAAGCAAGATAATGTCATTTTCTAGTATTCCCACTAAGAAAGAGGCAGGTGTCTTGGGAGGTGAGCATATAAATCTGCATGCTAGAATTCCTGTAAGTCCGAAGTGCAAGACCTCGCTGACACAGGTGTAAAAACAGACGCGTGCAGGCATCTGTATGCAGCAAAATAGAAATTAATAGGGCCATTCAGACTTGTGCGTTGGGGACCATATTGTAGCACTGCACTTAGCAGTGTAAAATAATAGAGTAGAAGTGTGTCTCTGCCTGTAAAGATCCTGCGTTTGTAACTCATGTACGTGTGCAAACATGTTTAAATGTGTGTGAATGCAACAGATGTAAAAAGTCTTAACACATCTAAATGGATGATCACAGAAGATTCTGCCTACTTTGTGTATGTATTGTGTAATAGAGCAGGGATCTCCAAACTTTCTATACAAAGGGACAGTTTATTATCTTTCAGACTTTAGGGGGGCCAGACTGTGGCCAGTGGGAGTAGAATATATTTTGGTATTAGTGGGACTAAACAATGTCCCATCTTTGGTGTCAGTGGGAGGAATAGTACATAGTTGGCATCAATTGAAGGAATACTGCAGGAGGAATAGTGCCCCATCATTAGTGTCAGTGGGAGGAATAATGGCCCATTGTTGGTGTCAGTGGCAGAAATTAGATCCCATTGTTGGTGCCAGTAGGGGGAATAGTTCCACATCATTGGTGTCATTGGGAGGAATAATGGCCCATTGTTGGTGCCAGTGGAGGGGTAGTGCCCAATCATTGGTGTCAGTGGGAGTAATATTGGCCCATTATTGGTGTCAGTGAGAAGAATAGTGCCCCATAACAGGTGTCAGTGGGGGGAATAGTGTCCCATCATTGGTGTCAGTGGGGGGAATAGTGCCCCATCATTGGTGTCAGTGGGGGGAATAGTGCCCCATCAATGGTGTCAGTGGAAGAAATAATGGCCCATTGTTGGTGTCAGTAGGAGGGAATAGTGCCCCATCGTTGGTGTCAGTGAGGGGAATAATGGCCCATTGTAGGTGTTAGTTGGGGGAATGGTGCCTTTTATCTGAGGGAAGAATAGAGCCCATGGGCTGGATAAAGATAAGCAAAGGGCCACATCTGGCCCCAGGGCTGCAGTTTGGAGACCCCTGTAATAGAGGAATAGAACCATCTCTTCTGCTATCTGTGAAGAATGATAAAAGATGGAAATGTCATTGACAGCAGTGAAGGCAGAGGTTTCTGCATTCACATTTTAAAATGCACCTGTGTAAAGTATTTACATATTCTTAACAAGTTGTAAAAGAGCTTTAACACCAGTCATCCCCAAGCTTTCTAGCTGCTTGTACTGTGATGTTATTTATTTTCAGAAATGCTAAAAGATCATATCAATGACTCTTAAAGCTAAACTTCAGTCCTGTCTAGTACTGAAATTACTCTGACTTCCCTAC